TTCATTCCAAGTTGCACTTTTGTTTATGAGGAATTGTGCACTAAAACTACTAAAACTATCTCATTTATATATATTAACCGGCACGTTTATTTGAGAATCGTCTTCCCCTTTTAAACATGACTGTCATTAAAACCATGGACATTAACGAACGGCACATTAACTTTTAAAACGTTTATTTGAGATCGCTCTTCCCTTTTAAAGAAAAACTACCATCTTTTAAAAAAACAAAACCTCTCATTTATAAAGAATTCACTATAGTCAAGTCTCTTCCATGTTGCACTTTTGTTTATCAGGAATTATGCACTAAACCTCTCTCATTTATATGGAAATTTGAGAAAATGTGGCAATGGACATTTATGACTATTTAAAACCATGTTCATTAACGACAACCGTCAAGTCTACGTTTATTTGAAACGAGTCTCTATTCCCTTTTAGGAATTCTGAGAAAAAATGACTAAAGTCAAGTCTAAAATTCGAGGTTGCAATTGTGTTTATTAGGAATTGTGCACTAAACCTATCTCATTTATATGGGAATTCTAAGAATATGGCAAACATGACTTTTAAAACCATGGACATTAACGACCAGCACGTTTATTTGAAACGTGTCGCTCTTCCCCTTTTTAAAGAAAAACTACCGTCAAGTCTCCTCCAGGCTGCACTTGTTTTTATGAGGAAATGTGCATTAAACCTATCTCATTTATATAGGAATTCTGACAATATGCCAAACATGGCTATTATAAACCATGGATATTAACGACCGGCACGTTTATTTGAGCCGAGTCGCTCTTCCCATTTTTAAAGAAAAACTACCGTCAAGTCTCTTCCAGGTTGCACTTTTGTTAATGAGGAATTGTGCACTAAAACTATCTCATTTATATAGGAATTCTGAGAATGTGGCAAAGATTACTATTAAAATCCATGGACATTAACGACCGTCACGTTTATTTGAAACGGATCGCTCTTCCCCTTTTTAAAGAAAAACTACCCTCAAGTCTATTCCAGGTTGCACTTGTGTTTATGAGGAATTGTGCACTAAACCTATCTCATTTATATAGGAATTCTGAGAATGTGGTTTATGAGCAATAACGACCGGCACGTTTATTTGAAACGGATCGCTCTACCCCTTTTTAAAGAAAAACTACTCAATCTATTCCAGGTTTATTTATGAGGAATTCTGAGAATGTGGCAAACATGACTATTAAAATCCATGGACAATAACGACCGGCACGTTTATTTGAAACGGATCGCTCTACCCTTTTTAAGAGAAAAACTACTGTCAACTCTATTTCAGGTTGCACTTGTGTTTATGAGGGTGAAACCCTTGTTTATAAAGGAATTCTTAAACCTATCAAACATGACTATTAAAACCATGGACATTTATACCGGCACGTTTATTTGAAACGGATCGCTCTTCCCCTTTTTTAAAGAAAAACACCGTCAAGTCTATTCCAGGTTGGTGTTTAACAATTGAAACTATTAAAAGGAATTCTGAGAATGTGGCAAAAATGACATTAAAACCATGGACATTAATTTATTTAAAAACGGATCGCTCTTCCCTTTTTAAAGAAAAACTACCCTCAAGTCTATTCCAGGTTGCACTTGTGTTTATAAGGAATTGTGCACTAACCCTATCTCATTAATATAGGAATTCTTAGAATGCAGCAAACTTGACTAATAAAATCAATGGACATGAACGACCGGCACGTTTATTTGAAACGGATCGCTCTTCCCCTTTTTAAAGAAAAACTACCGTCAAGTCTATTCCAGGTTGCACTTGTGTTTATGAGAATTTGGGAACTAAACCTATCTCATTTATATAGGAATTCTGAGAATGTCGCAAACATGACTATTAAAATCCATGGACAATAACGTGCGGCACGTTTATTTGAAACGGATCGCTCTTCCCCATTTTAAAGAAAAACTACCGTCAAGTCTATTCCAGGTTGCAATTGTGTTTATGAGGAATTGTGCACTAAACCTATCTGATTTATATAGGAATTCTGAGAATGTGGCAAACATGATTATTAAAAACCATGGACAATAACGACCGGCACGTTTATTTGAAACGGATCGCTCTACACCTTTTTAAAGAAAAACTACCCTCAAGTCTATTCCAGGTTGCACTTGTGTTTATGAGGAATTGTGCACTAACCCTATCTCATTAATATAGGAATTCTTAGAATGTGGCAAAGTTGACTATTAAAATCCATGGGCATTACCGACCGGCACGTTTATTTGAAACGGATCGCTCTTCCCCTTTTTAAAGAAAAACTACCGTCAAGTCTATTCCAGGTTGCACTTGTGTTTATGAGGAATTGTGCACTAAACCTATCTCATTTATATAGGAATTCTGAGAATGTGGCAAACATGACTATTAAAAACCATGGACATTAACGACCGGCACATTTATTTGAAACGGATCGCTCTTCCCCTTTTTAAAGAAAAACTACCGTCAAGTCTATTCCAGGTTGCACTTGTGTTTATGAGGAATTTTGCGCTTTATAGGAATTGACCTAACTGATTTATATAGGAATTCTTCCCTTTTTAGAATGTGGCAAACATGACTATAAAAAACCATGGACATTAATGACCGGCACGTTTAATTGAAACGGATCCCTCTTCCCCTTTTTAAAGAAAAACTACCGTCAAGTCTATTCCAGGTTGCACTTGTGTTTATGAAGAATTTTGCACTAACCGTATCTCATTAATATAGGAATTCTTAGAATATGGCAAACTTGACTAATAAGATCCATGGACATTATTTTAAACGGATCGCTCTACCCCTTTTTAAAGAAAATATAGGAATTCTGAGAATGTGGGAAACATGATTATTAAAAACCATGGACATTAATGACCGGCACATTTATTTGAAACGGATCGCTCTACACCTTTCTAAAGAAAAACTACCGTGAAGTCTATTCTAGGGTGCACATGTGTTTATGAGGAAATGTGCACTAAACCTATCTCATTTATATAGGAATTCTGAGAATGTGGCAAACATGACTATAAAAAACCATGGACATTAATGACCGGCACGTTTAATTGAAACGAGTCGCTCTTCCCCTTTTTAAAGAAAAACTACCCTCAAGTCTATTCCATGTTTTATGAGGAATTGTGTAAACCTTATGATTTATATTGAATTTGGGAACTAAACCTATCTCATTTATATGAATTCTTTAAGAATGTCAAGTCAAGGTTGCATGATTATTAAAATCCATGGACAATATAGGAAACGTGGCACGTTTATTTGAAAAACGGATCGCTCTTCCCCATTTTAAAGAAAAACTACCGTCAAGTCTATTCCAGGTTGCACTTGTGTTTATGAGGAATTGTGCACTAAACCTACCTCATTTATATAGGAATTCTGAGAATGTGGCAAACATGACTATTAAAATCCATGGACAATAACGACGGGCACATTTATTTGAAACGGATCGCTCTTCCCCTTTTTAAAGAAAAACTACCGTCAAGTCTATTCCAGGTTGCACTTGTGTTTATGAAGAATTTTGCACTAACCGTATCTCATTAATATAGGAATTCTTAGAATGTGGCAAACTTGACTAATAAAATCCATGGTCATTAACGACCGGCACGTTTATTTGAAACGGATCGCTCTTCCCCTTTTTAAAGAAAAACTACCCTCAAGTCTATTCCAGGTTGCACTTGTGTTTATGAGGAATTGGGCACTAAACCTATCTCATTTATATTGGAATTCTGAGAATGTGGCAAGCATGACTATTAAAATCCATGGACAATAACGACTGGCACGTTTATTTGAAACCAGTCGCTCTTCCACTTTTTAAATAAAAACAACCGTCAAGTCTATTCCAGGTTGCACTTGTGTTTATGAGGAATTGTGCACTAAACCTAAACCTATTTATATTTATATAGGAATTTTTTAAACATGACTATTAAAAATCCATGGAAAATAACGACCAAGCGGCATTTATTTGAAACGAGTCACCAACCCCCTTTAAAGAATGTTACCCAAACAAATTAAAAAAACGGGACATTTCAATTTGTCGTCAATTCCAGGTTGCACTTGTGTTTATGGGGAATTGTGCACTGAACCTATCTCATTAATAAAGCAATTCTTAGCATGTGGCAAACTTGACTATTAAAAAAAACATGGACATTTATGACCGGCACGTTTATTTGAAACGGAAACGGTCGCTCGTCCCCTTTGTTAAAAAACCAAGCGGCTCCTCCCAGGTTTTAAGAAAAACAACCCTATTCAATTTATATTTAATTCTATTCCATGTTGCACTTGTCTTTATGAGGAATTGTGCACTAAAGCTATCTCATTTATATAGGAATTCTGAGAATGTGGCAAACATGACTATTAAAATCCATGGACATTAATGACCGGCACGTTTAATTGAAACGGATATCTCTTCCCCCTTTTTAAAGAAAAGGTTGCACTTGTGTTTATGAGGAATTGTGCACCAACCCTATTTCATTTATATATGAATTCTGAGAATGTGGCAAACATGACTATTAAAAACACGGGACATTTCCGACCGGCTCGTTTATTTGAAACGGGTCGCTCGTCCCCTTGTTAAAGAAAACCAAGCGGCATGTCTCTTCCAGGTTGCACTTGTGTTTATGAGGAATTGTGCACCAACCCTATTTCATTTATATAGGAATTCTGAGAATGTGGCAAACATGACTATTAAAAACACGGGACATTTCCGACCGGCTCGTTTATTTGAAACGGGTCGCTCGTCCCCTTGTTAAAAGGTTGCACCAAGCGGCCTGTCTCTTTCATTTATAGGTTGCAAACATGACTATTAAAAACACGGGATGACCGGCTTGTTTATTTGCACCATCCCTGTCTCTTCCAGGTTGCACTTGTGTTTGAGGAATTTTTCATTTATTTAGAATTCTGAGAATGTGGCAAACATGACTATTAAAAAACACGGGACATTTCCGACCGGCTCGTTTATTTGAAACCGGGCGCCCTCATCCTTTTGTTCAGTGAAATCCCCTATTTCCTTAGAATGTGGCATATCTATTCAAACACGGGACATTTCACCGGTGTTTATTTGAATTGTCCCTTGTTAAAGAAAACCAAACCGGCATGTCTATTCAAGGTTGCACTTGTGTTTATCAGGAATTGTGCACCCAACCTATATAATTTATATTGGAATTCTGGGAATGTGAAAACCACGACTATTGAAAACCCGTTATATTTACTCGCGCACGTTTATTTCAAACTGGTCGCTACTCCTTTTGTTAGAGAAATCCCCACCGGCATGTTTATTTAATGTTGCAGTTGTGTTTAGGAGGAATTGTGCACAAAACGTATCTCATTTGTATTGGAATTCTGAGAATGTGGCAAACATGTCTATTAAAACCCGTGACATTTCCTCTCTCACGTATATTTAAACGGGTCGCTCGTCCTCTTGTTAGAGAAATCTCAACCGGCATGTCTATTGAAGTCAGCACTTCTGTTTATTAGGAATTGTGCACCAAACCTGTCTCATTTATATTGGAATTCTGAGAATGTGAATGGATGATTATTACAAACCCGTGCCAATTCCCTCGGCACGTTTATTTGTAACGGGTCACTCGTTCTATTATTAGAGCAATCCCCACCGGCATATCTATTCAAGCAGCAATTGTGTTTATTGGAAATTGTGCACCAAACCTGTCTCAATTATATTGGATTTCTGCGAAGGTGTCAAACATGACTATTAAAAACAGGTAATATTTTCCCCGGCACCTTTATTTGAAACGGGTCGCTCGTTCTCTTGTTAGAGAAATCCCCACCGGCATGTCTATTCAAGGTTGCACTTGTGTTTATGAGGAATTGTGCACCAAACCTATCTGAATTATATTGGAATTCTGAGAATATGGCAAAAATGACTATTGCAAACACATGGCACTTCCCCTGGCACGATTATTTTAAACGGGTAGGTCTTCCTCTTTTTATAGAATTCCCCACCGGCATGTCTATTCAAGCTTGCACTTGTGTTGCTGAGGAATTGTACACGAAACCTATCCCAACTATATTGTAATTTTGAGAATGTGACAAACATGTATATTAAAACCTTAGACGTTTCCCCCGGCCCGTTTATTTGGAACGGTTCGCGCGTTCTATTATTAGAGAAATCCCCACCGGCATGTCTATTGAAGGCAGCACTTTTGTTTATTAGGAATCGTGCACCAAACCTGTCTCATTTATATTGGATTTTTGCGAATGTGACAAACATGGCTATTGAAAACACCTGACATTTTCCCCGGCACCTTTATTTGAAACGGGTCGCTCGTCCTCTTATTAGAGAAATCCCCACCGGCATGTCTATTCAAGGTTGCACTTTTGTTTATGAGGAATTGTGCACCAAACCTATCTCAATTATATTGGAATTCTGAGAATGTGGCAATCAAGACTATTAAAAACACGGGACATTTTTCCTGCCCGTTTATTTGAAACGGATCGGTCGTCCTCTTTTTAGAAAAATCCCCACCGGCATGTCTATTGAAGGTTGCACTTTTGTTTATTAGGAATTGTACATCTAACCTATCTAAATTATATTGGAATTCTGAGAATGTGACAAACATAAATATTAAAAACCCTGGGCGTTTCCCCCGGTACGTTTACTTGAAACGGGTCGCGCGTTCTATTATTAGAGCAATCCCCACCGGCATGTCTATTCAAGGCAGCACTTGTGTTTATTAGGAATTGTGCACCAAACCTCTCTCAATTATACTGGAATTCTGAGAATGTGACAAACATGACTATTACAAACACGTGACATTTTCCCCGGCTCATTTATTTGAAACAGGTCGCTGGTTCTATTTTTAGAGAAATCCCCACCGGTATGTCTATTGAAGGCAGCACTTGTGTTTATTAGGAATTGTGCACCGAACCTTTCTCAATTAATTTTATATTCTGAGAATGTGATAAACATGACTATTAAAAACCCGTGCGATTTCCCCCGGCACGTTTATTTGAAACGGGTCACTCGTTGTATAATTAGAGAAATCCCCACCGGCATGTCTATTCGATGCAGCACTTTTTATTAGGAAGTTTGCCCCGAACCTATCTCAGTTATATTTGAATTCCGAGAATATCACACACATCACTATTAAAACCCGTGAGAATTCTCCCGGCACGTTTATTTGAAATGGGTCGCTTGTATTATTATTAGAAACATTTTCACCGGCATATCTATTCAAGGCAGCACTTGTGCTTATTAGGAATTGTTCACCGAAACTATTTCAGTTATATTGGTATTCGTAGAAGTTGACAATCATGACTATAAATATCTGTGAGATTTCCCCCGGTACGTTTATATGAAACGCGTCGATGTTTTATCATTTGAAAAATCCCCACCGGCATATCTATTGAAGGCAGCACTTGTGTATATTAGGAATATTTTGGAATTGTGAGTATATGTGTTTTCCCTCAGCACGTTTATTTCAAACGTATCTCTTGTTTTATTATTAGAAAAATCCCTACCGTCATATCTTACGGCCATATCACGTTGAAACACCGGTTCCCGTACAATCACCGAAGTTAAGCAACATTGCGTCCTCTCATTACCTAGATCGATGACCGCTTGGTTGTGTGGGTGGTTTAATGGATAATGGTTTGGAATTGTTAAACACAGGGCCGAGTTTCAATTCCCGGGTTCGTCATATTCACTTACAAACTTACGCGTAAATACCCAAGTGAAAAGTATGAATGCTACTCTTCTCCCCCATTTATGGGTTAATTATTAAAACTAGTATTACTACACCATTATTAACCAAAACATCATTCTTATAATCCGAAAACTCTTTTCTAGTTTTAAATAACCTGCAAAGGTCTGATAATCCGTAGAAAACGGTTTAATCAGTATAAAAACAAGCTACATTCAATTTCCTTATCTCCTACACTAAATTTTATTGTCACGTGACCGAGTGGTTAGAACTTTCGCATTCTGAGACCCGGGTTCGAATCTCACCATGGTCAATTTGTCAGGAGGGAAACTTCCTGATGTTATCTGGAAGGGGTAATCCCAGCGTGCGACACATGGAAAACCTACCACGGGTTGACCCAAGCCTTATGAGTAAAATCGGGTAGACGAAACCCTTAGGGGCCGTCGATAGCTGTGACAGCACGAAGTCATCATGGCCAAGGGCTTGAGCGTGCTGGTCTTGTTCAAATTGCTGGTCACGCTAGATAGCACGCTCTTTCCCAGAAACTGTAACTAAGGTCTGCTCAATATAGTTGCAGTATACACCACAGGTGGGCTCTGTGGATGTTGAATAAACAGAAAGGCACCTGAGAAAGTGTCTGTAAACTGGATTAGCTAATCGCCCTAGTAGACGGATATTCTCGAATAGAAGTGGCCAGCTATACAGTAAGGGTGTTATAACGGATCTACACACCAATGTATCTGAAGTGTTTGGTATTCACTAATTCCACATCATGAATCTTTACGATGGGGCAAGAAAATTTGGTTCACTTTGTCGTACTAAACAGTTTTTCTCGACAGAATCTATTTTACACATTTCGTCCGTGCATACAATATTGCTGTCTCATCTGGTCTGGTGCCCCTGCTATGCATTTAGAGATACTAAAGAAAATTCAATGAAGAATCTGCAATGTTATTAGTCTTGATCTGGCATCTAGGTTTCAACCACTTTTCCACCTTCGTAACGTAGCTTTTTGGTGCCTTTTAACGCAGTACTAAATTGGCGGCAAGAATTTTAAATGGAATTTAATGGAATGTCAATTGATATCTTCCTTAATTCCTGTTCTTTTATTGTTCTCCCATAAAATGTTTCGCATAATCTCTTGCACTCAGTAACCTTTTGTGTCTTAGTGGCTTTATTGCCTTGCTTGAGGTGAAATTATTAAAAAAGTGAAGCATGTCATTACTGTGTGCATTCTAATTCCAGATCATCATTTCTTTTTTAGAATGGTTTGAATCATTTCTTTTAAAATTTGGGAAAGAATGTTGATTTATTTTTTGGTTAGATATCTTATTCCAACGAGGAATAAGAATAACTATAGTCAGAGAGAGGGAGAGGATAGAGAGAGAGAGAGCGTGTGTGAGAGAGAGAGTGAGAGTAAGAAGGACAGAGTGACAGTGAGAGGGAGAGTGAAAGGGATAATGCGAGAGAGTCATAGAGTGAGAAAGAGTGAGAGTGAGAGAGGGCGAGAGTCATAGAGTGAGAGGGAGAGAGGGCGAGAGTCATAGTGTGAGAAAGAGAGAGTGAAAGGGATAATGCGAGAGTGTCATAGAGTGAGAAAGAGTGAGAGAATCAGAGGGGAGAGGGAGAGAGTCATAGTGTGAGAGAGTGAGAATGAAAGGGATAATGAGAGAAAGTCATAGAGTGAGAAAGAGTGAGAGAGGGAGAGAGAAAAGGAGAGAGAAGGGGATAAAAAGAGAGATGGCTAGAGAGAGAGAGAGAGAATGAGAGATGGATTGGGAGAGAGAAGGAGAAAGTGAGAGAAAGGGGAAACTGAGAGAGAATGAGAGAAGGATAATGTTGAAAGAGAGAGTGAGATGGATATAGAGAGAGTTAGAGAGAGAGAGAGAGTTTGAGAGGGATAGAGAGAGTGTGATATTGTGAAAGATAGAAGGAGAGTGTAAGGGTGACAGAGAGGGAGGGTGACAGAGGGAAAATGAGAGAGGTAAAGAGCGAAGAATAGAGAGAGAATGAGAGAAAGAGATATATGTGGAGAGTGAGTGTGAGAGAGGGGAATAGCGATACAGGGGTATATATAGAAAGAAAGAAAGGGTAAATGAGAATGAGAGAGATAGAGAGAGGGGAGTAAAGAGAGATAGAGAATTCATTTTTTTCTACCCAAAAGTAAACGAACCAGTTTTACCTTCATGTTGCACAACCGAACAAAAACAACTGGTTATTGGGCGGATGGAATTATTTTTTTAAAAATCTCCATTGCAGAAAACGAGAGAGAGATCCTCGTTGTTTTGTTTTGTTTTGTTTTTGTTTCCTTTTCTTAATAAAGGGCGTCGTGCTTTCATATATTGCTGGTAAATAAAATAAAAAAATCCCAATTCAGAAAATGAGAATGCATATCGCAGCAATACTTCCGGTTGGGACCGGAAGTTCGTTGCGGGCCTGCTGATCACATTGTTTTGTCAGCAGTAAAAAAAATAACATTATGACATTGTGTATCGTATTCAATATAAGCTGATGATATAGGCGAACATTATATGTGAAAACATTTTTGCAGATAGACTTAAATTTCCAGTTCATGGCAACTCACCGTGTAGCATACTTAACAAACAAGTAGAGCATTGAGATATCTATGATTTGTATCCACACTGGGTGTCCTATAAATCTGTTTTGGTTCTACAGGATACACAGCTAAGCTGAGTAAATATTAAATGCTTTCTTATAAAGTTGTGTAAGGACGACACAATAAGCGTGTAAGTCTATTTGTGGTGAAGTACTTTCTGACGTGAGAGTCACCTTGATTCAAAATAATAATTATCAAGGTTAGTCTGCTTGACCATAACTACTACTACTACAACTACTATCTATCTATCTATATATCTATCTATCTATCTATCTACATTTGCTCATATTTATCTCAGTCTGTTCATTATCTATCTACCTCAGTCTGTTCATATCTATATATCTATCTATGTCTGTTCATATCTATCTATCTATCTATCTATCTACATTTGTTCATATTTATCTCAGTCTGTTCATATCTATCTACCTCAGTCTGTTCATATCTCTCTCAGTCTCTTCATATCTATCTATCTATCTATCTATCTATCTATCTATTTATCTATCTATTTACGTTTGTTCATATTTATCTATCTCAGTCTGTTCATATCTATCTACATCATTCTGTTCATATCTATCTATCTATCTATCTGTCTATCTATTTATCTATCTATTTACGTTTGTTCATATTTATCTATCTCAGTCTGTTCATATCTATCTACATCATTCTGTTCATATCTATCTATCTATCTATCTATATATCTATCTGATCAGTAAGTTCCATGATCACTGAGTGCTTCATACAACGTTCCACATTACATAACCCAAGAAGGCAATCCGTTGACCCATGATACTTCGTGCCAGACAGATGGAACATTCTATTTCTGAAATCGTGAAAACAATTGGTCCCCTGGATCTATGGTATCTCATACACATTCAAAGCATTACAGATAAGAGGTTACGAGTTATATTATAACGTTAAGGAACAAATGCAGGCAAGCTAAATAGGGATGACTCAACGAAAAATGTGCAGAAATAGCAAGAATGCATAAAATAGTAAGAGACATACAGGAAAAAAGATATGCTCATCAACAGGCTGCATATAATCCAAGGACTGGACGCTTATATTAAAGGAAGAAAATACTTTAGAAACAGAACAAATATATCGGAGAATTCTTCCGCGACGAAGGAGAACAACCGGCAATACGCAGAAATATCGAAGAACCGGAAATATTAAAATCTAAAGTGGAATCTGCATTGGCCAAATTGAGCAGAAACAAGGCGACAGGACCAGACGGAATTGCAATAGAGATACTGGCAACCTTAAATGATTTCGGTAGAGACAAGATTACAGAAATAATAAATGAAATCTACAACAGTGGTGATATACCGGAAGGCCCAAGTAGATTTATTTTGATAGCGCTGCTTAAGAAGCCAGGTGCATACAGATGTGAACTCCTTCGGACAATCAACCTAATGAGCTATATACCAGCACATGAAGAAGAAGTGCATAGATTTCATACACTAAATGTTACAATCGTTATGAAAGAGAAATAATATTTTTTATTATTTCTGTCACCTAACTGGGTGGGTGGGAGGTTCTTACGGCCATATCACGTTGAAACAACGGTTTCCGTACGACTACCGAAGTTAAGCAACGTCGAGGCTGGTCAGTACCTCGATGGGCTACCGCATCGGAATACCAGGTACTTCTAGCTTGGATGTGCGGGTGGTGTAATAGATAACCACACAAAATCGTTACTCAGAGAAATGAGTTCCAATTTCAGTTGGGGTCGTTATATTCACTTACTCACAAATGGCCTTGGGAAAGGTATGAATCCCCTTTATCTCACCCTGCTATGGAGTAATTAGTAAGACTTGTATTACTAAATAATTCTTAGTGACAAAAAATTTAGAATCTAAAAAAAATATTTTCTTGTATTAAACAACAATAAATAAGTGGAATCTGAAACGACCAAATTGAACAGATGCAAATCGGCAGGGCCAGACGGAATCGTGATAGACATAGTGGCAGCGTTAGATGATTTCGTCATCGACAAGATAACAAAAATATTAAATGAAATCTATAACAGTGGTGATATACCGGAAGACCTAAGTAGATCTATTTTGATAGCGCTGCTTAAGAAGCCAGCTGCCAACAAATGGGAACTCCATCGGACAATCAGCCCAATGAGCTATATAACGATTCTTATTATACGAATTCTGATGGAAGCAGAATAACACAAGAACTGTGTGGATTCTTTAAAGACACTGGAGGGAGGAGCGCCATATCAGAAGATTATCAGAAAGTGCAATACAAGTGCAGAAAAACGTGCACCAGTCTTTTATAGACTACAAAATGGCGTTCGATAGAGTACGTCACAAAGACATATTTTAATTGCCCAGTAACCTTGGAGTAATGAATAGTAGCTTTGATTGAGGAATCGGAGAGCCGAGTTCGAATTCCAGTCGAATCTATTACATTTACTTACGTGCTAATACCTTTGGGAAAGGTGTGAATCCTCTTCTTCTCCCTCCCTATAAAAAACAAGACGGCATGCGTTGAACGGATGTCATAATTCGTTAAAGAAAGGCACCCCTACCCTACCTAGACTTAGAATAATAGTTAATAAAAAAGAATACGCTACCGCCCCTGTCTAAATGATTGGATTTCTCTGTATCCTTGGAAACAAAAATCCTGAATGTATGTGCTTTTAAAATCAGTAAATTTTAAAATAAGTTATTTCAAACTTCGCTTGAAGATGAAACAGAACTAATGCTTTTAATTTAATATAATTGAATTTGAAGTTTTTGGTTTCTGTTTTTGAAACATGGTAATTCCTGTGTAGCGATGAAACCATATTTTTAAATCAGTTAATATATTATTGTGAGACCGGAACTACCTACACAATAGACTCTTCTAGGTCTATATTAAGTATGCGACACAACACTCGAGACAGAGAGACGCAGAGAGTGAGAGAGACAGTGAGAGCCGCGTACGACTACCAGTATTGGACACTAACATATAGTAAGCTCCGCTTACACTATCTCTGTAACCTGTTGTTAATCTATCTTTCTTACATCTAATCCGTGTTCCGTGTTTTACTTCTGTGGTCCCAACTTTGGCGCTATATATATATATATATATATATATATATATATATATATATATATATATATATATATAAACAGACATTGTGTTTAATTTTCTTTTCCACCATTTTCTTTCTTTCTTCCTTTCTTTCTTTCTTTCCAATCTGTTTATTTCCAGTTTCTTTCTTTCTTTTTTCTCAACAGTATTCCTTAGCTATGTGCCTTCTTTGCTAAAGTAAGACTACATGTGCACATAGACACACACAGACACAAACACATAAATGTCTGTACATACATGTACGCATAACCACGCAAACATTTAGCTCACGCACATGCTCAGATACGCAGATACACACATACAAACACATAGACACACAATTACACACACCACGCACATACAAATACACGCACACACAAAGACACACACATAGATACAAAATTACACACAGAATCACATCCCCTCACACAATCATGTAAACGCGTCAAGTGTTCGGTTTTCCCGCCATTGTGAAGATAACTTCCGGTTTTCTTCGCACTTGGCAGCTTCCATTGAAATTTTCACGTTTTGCGATTTTTTTATTTTTTGGTTTTGCCGATTTTGCATATTCTCTCCATAGATCAAGTTTTTCGACTGGAATAAAATTCCTCTTCAACCATTTTGATGTTCATTTTCAAAAGACTATTCCTTAATCAATCTCATCTGAATTCCCGACTCTCTTGAAAGCAAATTACCATCATATTGCCAGGATCGTCAAACAACAACGACACCGACAAAAAGAAAATTAAATTAAAACCGTTCTCCCACGAAAAGTATAGCTATTATTCTAATTTTCCATGTCATTTCAACGTTTCGGCCGATGCATTCTCTGGACAGTTTATATGATAAAGTTCTCATTTGAAATATTGTCGTTATTCTTTTTATTATTCGGAAGAGTATCTTAATTTTTTTTAAATTATTTTTAAACTATGATTGATTTGGTTTTTTACGGCTTATCAACCTTTTGCGGGTTATTTAAAGCCATGCAATACTTTTAGATTGTAATAATTTCTTGGAGATTATAATAATTTCCTGATACATGCCCTATTATTCATGGGGAGAAGAGTTGGATTCATACCGTTCTCAAGGCTACTTGTGTGTACATGAATATAACGAACCCGACTGGATTTGAAACACAACTCTCTGATATCCGATTACGTATAATTTGGCAAGTTTTCATTAAGACCTTTAAAATATTGTCTAATTGAAGAAAGTTGAAATAAAAATACTGTATAAACAACTCGTATTTTAAAATCTTATTCATTTAAATGTTTTTTAAAAATCAAATTAACTTAAAAAAATTTTAATATGACAAAAAATATTTTTCACCAATGGTGAATACGTGGTGTGGGGTCATGTACAATTGAATCATTGGTCCATTTTTCTTCAACGGGACATCAATTTCTGCAAATGTTGACCTTGACCTTTTGATTGAATATGTGGCACCACAAATACATGACCTTCAACCAACCCTCATTTTCCAGCAAGATGATGCACCACAACATTGGGGACTGCATGATCATGGGTACCTAAATCAAACATTTCCAGTCGGGTAGATTGGAAAGGATGGCCAAATTCCCTGATCATCTCGTTCATCAGGTAACATTGAAATGGAATTCTTTCTATGGGGTCATGTTAAAGATATCGTATATCGAACTAAGATACGGGAAATCACTGATCTAAAGCAAAAGATCACTGATGCCATTGCCACCATTAATGAGGCTATATTACAGCGAACATGGCAAGAAATCGAGTACCCTCTCGATGTGCTTCATGCAACTAATGGTACCCATATAGAGATGGATTAAATTAGTTAAAAAAAACTTCCGTATCTACTTTTCATTTTGTAACAATTGCCACATATTTATCTGTTCATTTGCTTTTGTAATAATTTTTTTAAATTATAAAGGGACTGTTGTAACCTCAGAAAAGTTTACTGAATGAGGAATAACCAAAATGGAGGATGGAAATGAAATGGTAATCTTTATAACATCAACAAAATACAATACTCGCCAGCGGCATGAAGTAGGTAAACCACTGCTAGTGGGGGACTACTTAGACACCATATTATCCCTCCCCTTACAATAGTGTCCAACATATTGATGAGGATTGGGACATACCCATTAGTGTTCAAAGGTACAGTATATAACAGATAGATAGATAGACAGATAGATAGATAGATAATGAACAGACTGAAATAGATATGCATTCATTTTGCGAGCATACATTTTATTTCTGTAGCATTTTTTTAAGAATAAGCATCTCTCTCTTTCTTTCCCCCTCTCCTTCTATCTCACAAACACACACACACACACACACACACATATATATGTATGTGTGTGAAGACAATTCTTGTAAAAATTTATTATTCCTTGAAAAAATTTTTTCTTTAGAATAATATATCTCATTTATAAAAGCAATTAAAAGCTTTTTCAATTAAATAATGTCATAGGTTTATTTCATTTTTTTATTTTACAATTGTTGTAACCTAGACAGGGTTACTGAATGAGGAATAAACAAAACAGAGATTGGAAATGAAATGCAAATCTTTATAACGTCAAAAAATACAATACTCGCCAGCGGCATGAACTAGGTAAACCACTGCTAGTGGTGGACTACTTAGACACCATATTATCCCCGCTTAAAATGCGTAAATTAACGGATTCCAAGCCTAACTGAAAAAACGTGAATATTGCTATTTGTATGTACGTCTATAATAATTCTAGTTTGTCTGTATGGAATTCAGATGACGATGTATATGTGTAAGTGTGTGTGTGTGTGTGTTTAGTAGACATTATGTTTGCTGGTTTTTTTTCGCATTTTGATTTGGGAACGATTTTACGTAAATGAAAATCAAAGAACACTATAGTAGAAGTACCACAATCTCTTTCTTCTTTTTCTCCATATTTCATTTTCTGATGAAGCTTTAATAATAGCGAAACATGGTTAGCGATTGATAAACGTTTTCTATTTGTTCTATATCCTATCATATTTCAAACTATTTGCCAGGTTTCCGGTGAAAATATAAAGTGACCAACGTCTTAGCATTTTCGGTATACCTTAGCCATGATCGTAAAAGCCATCCGCAGCTAGATTGACTCTTTTTCTCTCCTATCTGATCTATAGATCGGGGAGAAGTGCTCGATGTGTTTTCTTAGCGAGAAATTAACTAAACAAACCCTGGATCGAACTCGGATCACCGCTTCCATTTTAGTCCCGATAAGAGTGACGCTAATAGCACATCCCCCAGAGGAGAGTAGTACAAGAGACTTATCGTTTGATTGTCATAACGGAGAAGAATTAACTTCATTTTAGGATTTTCTTTGCCTATCATATTTGTCTCTGCGCTCCAATCATTTGCCTAAACTCTAAGCAACAAAAACAATTGAAAGTAAACAAAAGTAACAGAAACAAAATTCGTAACCCATTTCAAGACCGATATATAAAATGGCATAAAAAGTTAATTATACATGAATGTTGGGTCTTTCTTGAATGTTCAAACTTTATTTCTTTTCAAGCCAAGTTGCGTCAACTGTGAATATATATATACATATATATATATATGTGTGTGTGTGTGTGTA